TGTTTGACAGTGATCATGTGGGTGTGTGGTCAGATACTCGACACACACAAATCACTTCACAAACCTCTCAACCATCCTTCATCAATTTCAGAACTATGAGTCAAATAATAGTGTTTGTTGTGAGACAACGTTTCTGTTGTTCCAGACGCTTCCTAGTCCATCCATGATGGTCCTTAAAGTACATGGCTTCAAGTATGTGGACAACGGAAAAGCTGTAACTCCACTCTGTGTCAGTCTTTCCAAAAGATTTGGGATTCTGGCAGACATTCAGCCATTCAGTGTTTGTAAGGTGATAAGGCCTCGCCGTTCTAGTTCCTCCCAAATGATGGTGTAGAGGTCAGGGCTCTGTTAAAGCCAATTCAAATCTCAAATACTAAGTGCTAAGATTCATGCATCACATATCTGTGTTACAGGACATTATCAACGCAAGGTCCACTTACAAATCTATTCCAATTATATGTTTTTTCCCTTTATAGGATGATAGAGCCAGAGACAGACAGATAGAGGGGATGACATGCAGTAAAGGACCCTGGCCCCTGCAGTAAGGCCTAAGGATGGACCTTGATCATGTATGATAACATACTCGGAGTAACCACTATAACTTACGGCCCCTACACACGGCTTGCGTTGACGCTTGCCAGCAGGCATGTCTGAAGCTAGACCAACAACCAATCACCTGAATCTCCCGCCCCGGACACACAAGCAGCGGTTTGATTGGCTAGAGCTTGTACTGGCATATGATTTGATTGGCTGACGCTGCCTTCAAAGCTTCAAAAGTTGAACATTGCTCTATTTTGCTACGCTTTGCTCCCACAATGCAGTTCGGCGAAGCGTGACGTCACACCATTCAAAGTGAATGGGCAGAAGCGTTGAAGCGCCAACGCACGCCGCCATGTGTACTCTATTGTAAGATTTAAGCAATACTATGATCCCTCCTGTTATATGTCAGGTTTAACTAGTGTATGTCATGTGATGTATGCCCAACAAGTGGAAAAAAAGATATGGTTCAGGTTATACTACTGCAGTAATGGGTATGTTACAAAATGTAACCCATGTGTTGAATGGTACAACATTTTTTATTTACATAGTGCACGTCATGTATGTATGAATGTATGTACTGTATGTATGTATCCCAACAGCAACATCCCACTAAGATTTTAATCACTCATCACAGTTAAATTGCGCGAGGTGTTTAAAAGACAGTCTGTTGGATGGCGTCTCATGTCAGAGTGTATTTATCTCTGAGCGTATTTACTCCACTCAAAATGCAAATCAATTCAAATCTGCCACTCAGCTCTAATTAAGAGGATGTATCAGGAATGGCAACAAACTGAGAGGTTTTAATGGCTATATGCTTCTGGTACTACAGAAATGATTCTTAATCTGGGAGCACGATGCGCACACACACACAGAACAATTATTATTTTCTAGAATCTACTGTAGTCTTCACACTGAAATGCCGATCCTGATACTTCTATTCAACCACACTATATACGTGGGTAGCTTTTTGAAATGTAATGTTATTGCAAGGTATTTTATTTTTATTCTGTGACTGGGGAAGCCACACACAGTCTAGTATTCAACATACTTATCTCATCTTATTCTCCTTCTTCCGCCACAAATGTTGTCGTGCTACTCGTCCGGCAGCGTTGACACGAAACACACACACCCCCCGCTCATTCCGCACGTTTTGATGTGTTTTTTACACAGTGAGCGGGATCGTGTAGCTATGTCTTTAATAAGAGATTCGCCTAGCCGTTTTCCAGCAAATCGCAAAAAACTGCGATAATTTGACCCATAGGTAGTACGCTAGTACTAGGGTTACGTACGTTAGTACGGTAAGTACTAGGGTTAGTACGCTAAACCTAACCCTAACCCTAATAGCTAGTACGGTTCTCACGTAGTCGCAGCTTACGTTTTAGAGCCCCATTGTGTTCTTTTTAACTAAATATCTAGGATAGGTGCGTTGGGATTGGCTCCTTATTTTCATCTAAAGTAAAAGACAGCACTTTTGAAACAGGACTGAAACAGAGGGGTTTATGGGATGCTACAATGCATGATCTGTTTGATATTTTGAGGCAAACACTCAGAGACATGTTTTGTATATATCCGAGACCTATAATGTATTGATGAAAAACAGTATAATACGAAACACTTGCTTTAAGTTTTTGGTAGGTTAATTGTCTCACAGATTTCAAGAAGTCTTTCAAGGAGCATACAAAGTAATTGTTGCATACTGGACTGACATTAGTTATTTGATTAATATGAAATTATAAAACACACATAAAGCAGTTACAGACACAACTAGGTGCCACAAGTAGCTACAACATTGCAATTCATGTTTCCTTCGCTGAGTGAGTTCATTCTGTTTCTATGTAGGTTATTGTTGTTTATGTCAATCTTCTTCCCTTTAGAAACGGAATCCTCCTCCACCTGAAACCAGCCTGTGGACACTCTTTCATACCAAGCCTCAGAAAGTTCTTCTCAAAGAGTTCTCTGTTACCTCATTCACACCAACGGTGTTTCAGGGCCGGTTCGGAGCTGGAGCTTGAAAAGAACCGGGTTTTCCTGTTCACACCGCAGTGGAGCAACCTCTTAGCTCCGGAATCCGGTTAGTTTCAAGCACCAAAAAATTGTCCGGCCAGAGCAAAAGCACCACATACGTCACGCTAACGTCGAGGCAGGGGCAGGGGCGGGATCAACTCCTGAACAACAACAAAAAGCCTGCGTTTTATCCAGTTTGTACACAACGATGGAGAAACTTAACAAGCAGCAGTGGTCCACTGAAGAAACCAGCTACCTACTGGGAATCTGGTCTTCCGAAGAGGTACAGAGGAAGCTGGAGCACAATCGGCCATTGTTGTTGTTGTCGGTGTCAGCTGTGAGGGGTTTCCGCGCGGTTTGGCTTTATGAAGCAGGCACGCAAACGGTTACGTCATGACGCAAACGATGACGCAATGACGCAGCACCAGTCCGGACTGCTGGCCGGTGTGAAAGAGCCCGGAGCTAAACCCCGAAGGGAACCGGTTCCTGAACTGAAAAGCTGCCCTAGGCTCAAGTGTTCTCAGGTGAGTTCTTTCCCATTCTGCCTTACCAAACAAAATAAAGGCTGGCGGGAGTGTAGATGTAGCTTAAATCAGGCCTTGTATTTTCCTCCTCAGCCTGAGCACAAGCAGAGATGGGCGTCGTTACTAAAAAAAATTTTTTTGGGGGTTGTAAATAGTTACATATCTTACATATTTTTACTTCTTAAAGAAATAAAGTAATATATTACACCCTACATTTTTTTTTTTTTTTTTTTTTTTATCCTTTACTCTCTACATAAAAGTAACTCGTTACTTTACTGCCTCTACTCCTTACTCCCCGAGCGCACGTAGCAGAACGGCGCATACGCATGAGTGGGCTAACTCTCCTTACCAGCAGCCGGCCGGTAGCGAGTGTATTCTGTGAAAAAAAATAAAAAAAAAAATTCAAACCCAGGCCAAAAACCCGGAAAGACAGAGAGAAGAACAGACTACGTGATATAAACAAACCACAATATAGTGTGGCATTAGCTTCCCCTTAGCGTGTGTTCTTTGCAGGTTGTTTTGAGGTTTTGAGCGTGGTGTTTACAGGCAGTGGAATTGCCAGCTTCTGGCCTGGACACCAGTTTGCACCCGCGTCGACCCGTCCAGCATTCCTGTCTATTCTTCAGACCCCCCGAACTCAA